GAAAATCTTCCAGGCCTCAGCTTAAAAGGCTACTGTGTCTTGCAGCCAGGGAGGACTGAGCATGCTTAGTGGATGCAATATGGAAACAGTTCTGTGGCTTGAAGGAGAACAGAAGACTGGATGAGATGTATACAGTGGTGCCTCGCTTAGCGACGTTAATCCGTTCCGGAAAAAACGTTGCTGAGCGATTTCATCGCTCAGCGATATTCAAAAACCGCGTTCCTATGGGCTAAAAACTAACCTTTAAGCGAAGATCCTCCATAGGGGCAGCCATTTTCGCTGTCTCTTAAGCGAGGAAACACAGCGGGCGGCCATTTTGAAACTGCCGATCAGCTGTTAAAAAAGGGTCGCTTCCCTGCAATCATTGCAAAGTGAAAAAACAATTGCAAAGTGAAAAAACCCCATAGGGACCGTCACAAAGTGATTGCTTTTGTGATCGCAAAAACTCCGTCGCTAAGCATTTTCGTCGCTCAATGGAGCTGTCACTAAGCGAGGCTTGCGATCGCAAAAACTCCGTCGCTAAGCGTTTTCGTCGCTCAACGGAGCTGTCACTAAGCGAGGGACCACTGTACTTGTTGTTTTTAGCTTCTTTGTACTCATTGTTCTTAGCTTTAAATATTGTCTTTCAATGATGTAAGCCACTTTGGGTCCTTTTTAAGGAGAAAGGTATGGTAAAAATATTTTAATTAAATAAATAATGTAATAACCTGGCTAAGGATGTGCTTGACTGCCTGGGAGATGAAGCTGCAGCACTCCCACCCCCCTTGTGGCTGCATTTTTTAGGGGGCAGGGTCCACTTGCTTATTGCATTTTTATCCAATCAAAGGTCTTGTCCCGGCTGCCTCTTCACACTCCTTGTCTTCAGAAACACTGTTATAGCAGAAGTAACTGGCTTTGAGAGGAAGAGATTTGAGCTACAGTATTTGCCCCTCTTAGCAATTATCACTGTACCTCACTGCCGTTATGTACATAATGTTGTTACAATGTGACAGTGTTAAAGCAGTGGTATTTTTGAATAAGATTACTATTTTGCCGTATAAAGAGGTGCAAGTTATAATCCTAGAGGAGGGCAGGATTATGACTGAAGGTGCCAGAAGAATTAAGTGGTGCTATTCAGATAATTCTGTTGCCCATTTCTGGAACAAAATATGCTGTATGTTCATATAGTTTCCCCTTACGAACTGATTTCCTCTTCATTTTCTAGCTTTATTTGTTTAAAATGGTTTTGCCCCGTTTTTCTCCTTAAAAAAAAGGACCTAAGGCAGCTTACATCATTAAAAAAGGCAACATTGAAAGCTAAAAACAGTTATTCGGATGTTCAAAAAGAATTTTAAAAACATTAAATTAAAATCATTAGGTTGTTCTAACAATTTATTTGCTATTGTGTCCAAATCATTCAAACTCTGGTTGGTGCTACCCTGAAAACCATGGCTTGAGATAGATCCGCACGCTCTGATTTGAAAGACTATTTGAACTGATCCCATGTCTTGCTCTCTGTCTGAAGAAACAGAACATTTCATCACATTTTTTTCTTTCAGGGATTAGAATTGCAAGAAACTTCCTGCCATGCTGCTGAAGCCCGCAGAGTGGATGAAATTTTTGCCATGGCCTTTGAACAGGAAGGACTTTTCAACCAACACTTTGGCAATATTTTAACACCTTGTTCTGTTCTTCCTGTGAAGCTCTATTCAGATGCCAGAAGCATTTTGTCTGGTATAATTGATTCACCTGAGAACAGGAAGCAGTTGAAAGACGACTTTGTGAAAGTTCTCTTATGGATGCTGGTTCGTTACTGCTATGAGAAGTCAAAAACATGCAGGACCCTTGAAAAGACGCCGAAGCAGGAGTCACTTCCAGCAGAGCCACCTGGTCTTTCTAGCAGGCCAGTAGAAATATGTTGTGAGGAAGATAACGACTTCAGCGTGGAATCGATAGAGGAGTGGTCTGACGACAGTAACCTTTTTGAGGATGAACCCAACCAAAAACCACCCACCGCAAAAGGAATGGCACCACGAGGAGATGTCCCACAGCCCTTCTTTTCTCTTCCAGGCTCTGTGGAAGTACACACTACGGAAGCTGAGGTATCAGAGGCAGCCAGCGTGAGCAGACTCTATAAAACTGTTATTCTAGGTCTTCCTGCTGTAGACAAGCAAAAGCAATGGGGAGAGATGGATTTGCCGTCCATAAAATTCAGTAACTCCTATTCTGAGTCATTAAGCATTCCTGAAGGGTGGAGAACTGCACCCCTACCACTTGCAAAATTCTGGAACACAAAGCAAAAGTTTCCACAAGACTGGTACCATTTTTTACTTCACCAACTAGATTTCTTTCACTTAAAAGAAAATCCTGAAAGTTTACCTGAAGACCTTGTTAAAGACCCTGCTTTGGAGGACTTGTATGTCCAGAGTGTCTTGTCCTGTTATGCTGCCATGTTTGGAGTAGATGATGCTGTTCCCTCTCCCAGTCACATACTTAGAGCCTACTATGGTACTCTGCCCTGGTCTCTCTGTTTGGACTGGTTAAAAGGGAAGCAAGAACTGTTTCACCTAGCACTCAAAGCATTCAGGTAACTTTGGAAAGATATAAAGGAAATCATACCTAGTGTTTTTAAATTCATGTATTTATTCCTTACAGAGGAATGATTACAATTAATTGCACAGAATCATTTCACACTCATGAGAACTGGCTCTTTACATATCGATTATAATTACTTTGGGGTTTTGGCATGAGAATCAAGAGTCTCTTAGCCATTTTAACCCATTAATGGCTCCTCCAAATCTATTATCCCCAGTAATTTTATCAGAAATGTGGCAACTAAAAACAAGCATTTGTAAGTTTTATGAAAATATATCTTCAATTTTACATTAATTTCACACACAACGCATACTATAGTGTAACCTGAAGATTTAAAAACATAGTTGGTTCATTACTGCAAATCATAGAATGATGCAGTAAGTTGTGCGATAAAGAGTAATAGGGATTACTGATCTTTCCTTATTTCTTAAATTTTAAAAAAAATTACAAGATTGAACATTTTTAAAAACTACATCATCATCACTGCCATGTGCCATGAAGTCAATTCTGACTTACGGTGACCCTTTTCAGAATTTTCCAGGTAGAAATTCACTTACATAAAGCTCACAAATTTACTGACACAAGAATCATTCTGTTTCCAAACTTTTTGCCTTCAGGGAACATTTTCTACATGTTTTATATCAACTGAAGGCTTAGCTGCATGATGCAGATTGTGCTGTGTGGCAGATTCTTAGGTGGGCATTTTTTTTTTTACATGAGGGAGTAATATGCACAAACTCAGCTTGTGCAGGCACATTCTGTGGTAACGCTATTGTCTGAGTAATTGGTCACAGAGGCCAGAATTCTGTTTACTTCCAAGTTATTGCATACAAGAAATAACTTCGCTGTTTAAGCTTTCTGCCCCAGGTTCTGCTTTGTCTGCCCAGTGTTCTACTGGTTGCAGAACTGGGCATGACACTTCTTGCTCACCCAATGACAGCACAAGGAAGCCTGTAGGAGGAGAGAAAAATACTGCCCACATGCTTTCCCGTGCTGTTCACCTCCCTCGTGTCCTAGAAAAAGGTGAAGGACTTGCCTTTTTAGGCAGGCTTTTAGCATCTAATTGGTCAGTTTGGATTTTTAGTAATTGTTATTTTATGTTTGTTTTAAAGTGTTTTTAACTGCTTTAATAGTTTTAATACTAACTATTTTTTAAAATGTAATAATTACTGGGTTTTTAGTCTTCAATATTTAAAAAATTTGGGAGCTGCCTTGGGTACCTTAACTGGAAAAAAGTAACATATAAATTAGAAATAAATTAAGTCTTTCTCCAATTGGATTTTGGCCAGAGACATTACACCTGGGTAAGCTTAAGGTGTGTTCTGGTCCATGGGTTCACGAAGAGTTGGACATGGCTTAACGAAACAACAACAAGCTTAAGGTAAGGTAAACTTTGTTAAATTACTGAATAGATTTTTTTTCTTATAATCTTGTGCTGTGAATCTTTCAGATACACAGTTAAATTTATGGTTGATAAAGCAAGCCTTGGCCCAGCTGAAAATTTTAAGGAGCTGCTAAACTGTTTTGAAGAATATGACCATGATTGGTACATCGGGCTGGTGTCTGAGAAGGAGTGGCAGCAAGCCGTTTTGCACGAAAAGCCATATCTTTTCTCTTTGGGACATGATCCAAATATGGTAAGAGCCAAGGGATGCTTGACTAGAAGTGGATTTTTCACTGATCATGGTCAGCAGTTGTCATGCTTGAATTCTATTGCAAAACCTATGAATATTGAAAAATGGTTAGATTATAGTTCGCCGGTACTAGCTCAAGTCTTTTTTTAGCATAGCACGCCAAGTGCTTTCAAGACTAAACTTTATATTGCTTTTATCAGAGATTTGGGCTGCAATCCTTTGCGTATTCACTAAAAAACAAATCCCGCTTAAATAAGTATAAATACTTATTTCCAGGTTGGATGTAATGTAAATCACAATTTAAAATGTTAAAGGATTTTTTGCAATTTAAATTTTTAAAAAATCATTTTTCTTTGACTCAATTTGATTTTTAAAAAAATCATTAATTTTTATCTACTCTTCTTATTTCAGAGCAAATTTGCATAGGAATAATCTCTTTTATTTGGGTAGGGAACAAAAACAATTTGGGATGAGAGTCAGAAAACAACAACCGTTGAACTGTTTTGACTAGAACTTTGAGAACTTTAGGGAATAAGTAATCTCCCATATTTTATTGGCCATCTCACAAAACCTTTTATATTCAAAACTTATAAACCTCAAAAGTGTAACAATATGCATATGAATACCCACACACACCTGGACGTAATGTCCACTCAAGCATCTGCTGCTACCGTTGGCTGTGCTCTCCCTTCTAATCACTCCGGAGCTCATGGTCAATTATCCACTCCTGGCAGTAGGAGGGAAGACGAGTCTCCCTGCCAGGCTGACGAGTGGATAGCCGACGGCGAACTCCAGAGCGGTTGGTAGAGTGGAGCTGGCAGCAGCAGTGGACACATGGGTGGACAGTACGGCCTGGGGGGGGGAGACCCTGGTTACGTCCAGCTGTGCGGGGGTACACGAATATGAATACCCCCATCTCCAGATGTTTTGGTGTACAACTGTCAGCCTCATCCAACATGGCCAGTGCTAAAGGAGTTGTGATCCAAAACCTCAGGCGAGCCAAGGATTCCCCACCTTTATTCCACTGGCTTCCATTTATGTACCACAGGAGAGGCTTTCCTGGTATCTCTTTTAGGGGGGAAAACACAGCTTGCAGTCTCTATCGGGCAGTCTAATTAGGATTGGTAACCGAAATCAGAACTTGGTTGTATGACTTTGCTCCTCCCCAAATTAGTGCTGGGAAGCAAGATTTCAATTTGTCCTGCTATCTAGGATGGGTTGGATTCAGATTTCATCCTTATTTGGGAGTTAAATCTGGAGAGCTTTAGGGTTCAAAGAGAGGTGTGCCGTGGGGCTACCAGTTAGCCTGTGTCTTCGCCACACCTGCACGTCATGCACTTTTGCGTTAGTGCAAAGTTGTACCCGGGTGCTGTAAGCCTGGAAAGGAAGACTGCCTGGCACTGAAATGCTGTAAGCACGTGACGCTGAACACATTGAAGGCCTGTATTATTTCCAGGTGAGGAATGGGAGTCTTAACTGACTCCTCGCGGCATCATTACTCTTTGACCCCTACATGCTTGCAGTCTTAATGCCTTCTATCAGTATAGACCAGCGATGGTGAAACTATGGCACGCATGCAGAGCCCTCTCCGTGGGCACGTGAGCTGTAAGTTGTTGGATCACTACTCCTGGCAGCCAAACCTGAGGGGGAGGCTGCAGCCGCTGTGCTGGTGCCCCGACAGGTGACAGGCCAGGATCGAGATCAGCTGGCACTGGCAGGCCAGCCAAGCTATAGGTAGTGGCGGGGTCGGGCATGACTGGAGGTGGATCTGGAGTGGGGTCTGGAGGCACTTCCATGCCTGGGATTCCTGCTTCTGCTGCCGCCATTTGGGGTTTTTATTATCTATCTATATCTGTCTGTCTGTCTATCGATCGATCGATCGATCGATCAATCTATATCTGTCTGTCTATTTATTCATTTATTTATTTGCAGTTTGGGCACTCTGGCTCAAAAAGGTTCACCATCACTGGGCTAGACCCACTGAAATCAGTGGTACTTGGGCACGGATAACATACTGTTTAATGGAACTGGGCCTTGATCCAACGGAATTATTTTCTCACTACCCACTGCACAAATTTATCATAGCAGAATAAAATATACATGTTACTGATTTTGATGTGTGTGTTGCATAACTCCTCCCACACAGAGTGCTCAAAATGCACACTGACTTTTATGTATGTTTTTCAGGGTGTATATACCAGCAGAGTCCTCACCCTTCAGGAATTTCTAATACAGGTGGGAAAACTGAACAGTGAAGCTGTCAAGGGACAGTGGGCCAACCTGTCATGGGAGCTGCTCTATGCCACAAATGATGATGAGGAGCGCTACAGCATTCAAGCCCATCCTGTCCTTTTAAGAAACTTGACCATACAAGCAGCAGACCCTCCTCTGGGTTATCCCGTTTATTCCTCTGAACCTCACCATGTGCCTTTGCTGTAGGACTGGGCCATCTGGTTCTCTGTTCTAAATTAAGACTGGCAAAGATGTTTTATGGGCTGTTAGAACCATCAGTCAAAGAGAAGGATGACAGTGGAAGCATATCTTCTACTATGGATCTGTGAAAATCTCTCAGTACCAGGTATTTGAACCCCTAATTCTGGAGAACTGCCAATGGGAGATGTTAAATGCTGGCTGAAGACACTTAATGCAGGCAATAAGTTCGTCAGTGTATTTTTGTGAGGTTTTTTAAAACATCTTGACAGGTGACTTGCACTGAGATGTAGGTCACAGCTTGTTTACATTAAACTACAGATTAGTAAAAAAAATGTACATAATTTCCCATGAGTTTGATAACAGCAGACTTAATTTTTTCACTGATTCCATAGTGTACTTTATTTGCATTGTTGAAGAAATATTTGAAGAAACACTTAATATACATATTCAGCATACAAAAACGAGCTTATTGTTTAAAAACAGCAAATTTAATTATAGTACTTTGGTAAAAAGCAGCCTATCATGATTCAGGTAAGACTGACAGGGTTTGCTGTGCTATGTAGAGATAACTCTGAAATCACAAGGATCTGAATGTTCATAAGCGAAAACAAGTTTGCAAGCAATCTTCTAATTTTGGTTCTACAGGCAAATGATAGATCTTGGTATTTCTTGTAGAATACAGGAATCAAAAACTTGAATTTTCTGTGAGCAGACCTTTCCTGGAAAAATCAATACTGTGTTTCCCCAAAAATAAGACAGGATCTTATATTAATTTTTGCTCCAAAAAAATGATTTAAGTTGTATTTTCCGGGGATGTTTTATGTTTTTCATGTACAACAATCTCCATTTATTCAGATACAGTCATGTCATCATCTTCTGGTTGCTGAACAATAGTAGAGGGCAGGGTTTCACTTAACGGGTTTGTTTTTGGGGTAGGGTTTATTTTTGGGGTAGAGCATCCTGAAAAACCATACTAGGGCTTATTTTCAAGTTAGGTCTTATTTTCAGGGAAACAGGATACTATCATTACCTGATTGAGTTTTTAGCCTCCAATATACTACCACTTCAATCTTCACTTCTAGAGTATGTCTGTGAAAATATTTCCTGAGTTAAAAAAATTACTATCCTACTTACAAAAAAAACAGCAATAAGGCAAAAGGGTGCTTTGGTAGCATTTGCAAAATGGTTCAGAACCAAGCTGCTGGTATATCAGGGCATTTCTGGTAGGGCAATGCAAAGGGCAATTGTTTGAGGTCTAGAATATTTTGGAGACCTCTGCGCAAGCACAGATTAACCCATTAGTGTGAGTTCACAGATGACCAATTACAGGTAAGTAACCTCTCTCTTTCCTGGTGTCTGGTAGGGCAGTGCAAAGAGGCAAAAGGTGACTGCTTTCATGTTTCACAGAGCAAGATTTTCTTTTGGGTAGAAGAAGTCCCTCCCATTGGTCACAACACATGGGAACATGTTAACACCAGCTGTAGGCTGGTAGAAAGGCACTAGTGGTATACAGTATAAGAAAACCCCACCGTCAGAAGGTCAGGTTTGTGCTCTTTATTATTAGTACAACAGAATAATACTTTTGGATGTTGTAGGTACTAACAACTTTTGTGCCCTGAGAGATCTAGGTAGAAAATGGGAGTAAATCTGTAATAGCCACCCTGGAAGCAAGTCACTCAGTTCAATGGGTTTTACACATTGGCAAGTGGAGCACAGCCCTAAAGGCTTCAACACATTGTTTGAGAGAATGATATAATATTCAAACAGCCACCCTACAGTAGAAAACTGCACCCCATGAGGTAAGTGAAGGAATGTGCCTCTGGTGGCTAACACACTATATGGTCAATCAGCATTATAATGATACATTACGGAAATAACAGATTGATATGCATATATCATACTTATGCCAGGTTATATGTCATAACTTCATCTCTTGCCACATATTTTTAAAAAGTATGTATTTGAAGACAAAAGGTTTCTTCATCCTCAGTCTGCTTCTGCTTAGGAAGACTTTTTGTAATAAGAAACATCAGCATCCTGCAGTGAAGATTAAACACTAATTAGTCAAGATAATCAGAGAATCCTCAATGCCTGTACTAGAGTTTGTGCTTTAAAGTCACAAGAACAAAACACTGTCTTGAGAGGCTGTAAAAATGAAAATAACTTTTATCACTAGTGTAAGTACTAAATATTATTTTGTGGGACAGTGTTGTCTTGCATTGCAGCCACTCAAACTCATCTTTGCCACCATATCCTTCCACATGGAAGCAAATTTGCATCCTTCCCTGTGGAAAAGATGGTCTATGGCAGTAGTGGGTGATGTCCAGGGACCACATGTGCCCATTCCTAGATCTTCACTAAGCTCTATCTACCAAATTGTATCTTTTTTAAACTGAGCACCCTCTAGGGATGGAAGTTTTAAAACCATGGGGTTGTGGGGAAGCCAGGGATGTTGGGGTCTCCTAAAACATGGCAGGATTTTCCCCATGCCCCTAGATAGTACAAAAGTACGTATTAATCTTAACCGACTAGATAGGCGGGATATAAATCGAATAAATAAAATAAATAAATATTAAATTGGGAGGTAGGTCATTGACATCCTGGGCGTCAGTGAACTAAAATGGATGGGAATGGGCAAATTCAACTTAGACGATTATCGTATCTACTACAGTATTGTGGGCAAGAATCCCGTAGAAGAAATAAAGTAGCACTCATAGTCATCAAAAGAGTGGGGAAAGCTGTACTGGGATACAATCTCAAAAAAGATAAAATGATTTCAATACAAATCCAAGACAGACCTTTCAACATCACAGTAATCCAAGTTTAACCACTGATGCTGAAAAGGCTGAAGTTGACCAGTTCTATGAAGACTTACAACACCTTCTAGAACTGACACCAAAGAAAGAGGTTCTTCTCATTATAGGGGCCTGGAATAATAAAGGAGGGAGTCAAGAGATAAAAGGAACAACAGGGAAGTTTGGCCTTGGAGTTCAAAACAAAGCAGGGCAAAGGCTAATAGAGTTTTGTCAAGAGAACAAGCTGGTCATCACAAACACTTTTCCAACAACGCTAGAGGTAACGCTACACATAGACACCACCAGATGGGCAATACCGAAATCAGCTTGATTATGTTCTCTGCAGCCAAAGATGGAGAAGCTCTATAACAGTCAGCAAAAACAAGACCTGGAGCTGATTGTGGCTCTGATCATAAGCTTTTAGCAAAATTCAAGCTTAAACTGAAGGAGGAAAAACCACTGGGTTAGTCAGATATAATCTAAACCAAATCCCTTACAGTACGAGTACAAAGTGGAAGTGAACAGATTTAAGGAACGCAATTTGGTGGACAGAGTGCCTGAAGAACTATGGATGGAGGCTTGTGACATTGTACAGGAGGAAGCAACAAAAACCATCCCAAAAATGTAAGAAAGCAAAGTGGCTGACCAATGAGGTCTTACAAATACAGTGGTGCCTCGCTTAACGAGCGCACCGTATAACGATTAAATCGCATAGCGATCCGTTTTTTCGGATCGCTAATGCGATCGCACAACGTTGTTCCCATAGGGAAAAATTCGCTTTGCGAAGACCGGTAAGCGTTTCGCTTACCGATCTTCGCAAAACGACCCCCGCCAATCAGCTGTTCGGCAGCCAAAATGGCCGCCGGAAGCCGGAAAATGGCCTAAAATGGCCGCGCGCAGCGTTTTCGCGCCCTCGTTAAGCGAGGCGAGGGCGCCAAAATGGCTGCCGGCCATCCTGAAGCTTCGCTGAACGGTGAGTATTTGGCCTATTTGGAACGCATTAAACG